TCGTAACTTCATGTGCTGAAGTCGGCAGTCAAATACTTCTTTGAGTCACAGTTTCCTCACTCCTGGATAAAAGGCATCAGTGATTCATTCAAAGGACAATAGAGGGTTGTTAACCTCTTGAGTAAATATATTTCCAAAAATTGATTGGCTTGAAAAATTTTAGAAATGATTTTAAAAAGATCTTCACTGTGTTGCAGGACTTTCCTTCCAACCTAATAGAATTTCGACTTACTGATTTGAATTCCTTGCCTAACTCTCGCTTTAAAACAGAAATGAGCCTAACCGCAACTTCCGACTACACATTCGACGTCCGTCTTCTGAACATTTCCTCTCTAGGGATGCGGTCAGTGATACACTCCGAGTCAAATGTCACCTATGAGATCCTTTCAACCTCATCACCACTCATTTGCCAAGAAGGTATCAATACGCCGATTAGGGGGACCACATGCTCGAGGACCGCCGGGACGAGGAAACGGACGCGGCTACCCTTCAGACGTTTTCAGTACAGAAAACCAGCCGAAATGCTTCCTAGTTAATCGGAGGGTGAGAGATAAAAGTAGATGGCTTCAAACCGGGGTAGTTTGAAAACTACCACGTAAACGCCGTCAAAAATAAGTTATTCCTTCACGACGCACGCTAGCTTGGTCATCAACCTGACGAATTGCCGTGCTACAAAAGCGCTACTCCGCAACTCGAATGCGAAACCCCATCTACGATGAACGACATTCGCCGAACAGTGAGAGGGTGGCGTAGTAATTCGAACATGAATTTAATCGCTTTCCCTCCACCCACACCGAACCCGCAAAACAACCCTCCTAAAATAACTTTTCAGGCCTCGCGCCCCTTTTTTTCTGCTCGAAAAAAACCACTGGCTGACAATTATTGATGGTCTGCGCGATAGCCGACTGGTTTGGAAGTAAGGGAAGCTACCGCTCGTTCTCCATTTTAAAGAGAAATCGGTGCTCTGAAGAGAAAATACCTCAGTTGAAAGCGATTATACATGTCTCGTCTTCGCGTCGTCGGCACATGCCCTTCTCATTGACCATCGAAATAAACTCATCCCCTGTGCAGAGGGTCTAACTGGTTGTGTCAGGTTTTACTTGAAAGGTGAGGCGTACTGTCACGAATAGTAGGCCGCCGGCACAAGCATCAATAGCTTGCACTAATTTCTCAACCGTTAAACTGGACAGACCTCGAATAAACAAGCCACCAAGATGAATGGCGCTTCTAGATGCACCCTCTCCCTCTTCCCTGTACCTGGATGCCTGGAAACCGCAATCGTTCACCATTAAGCCCACATGTTTCTACAATGCTCTTTCCTCACATTCATGTACTGCTACTCGTAGCTTTCGCTGTGGGCAACGAACCCTGAATCCAGCCCATTTTCACATCCCACGGGAAACAAGTTCACCCGGCCGTATGAAGCTAATCCACTCTTCCTGACCTGGTTGGGCTTTTTAGCTGTCAGGACCACTTTGTATCGAGCGGTTTGGATTCGATTCCGTTGACACTGGTGAAAGTATGGCAGAACGGGTGTAATGACAGGGAACGCACTATCACGCACTGGTGTGTGGCGATTCGTGCGATTCTGGCTGCGCGCAGCAAATTGCGTGGCGAAATTTGCGATGATTCAAACAACTCCGGCGCCTATCATTGGGGCACAAACTTGAAGTAGAGTACTTTAGTAGGGTGGAACAATCCTACTAACCTATTTTACTTCAAATTTGGACCCAAATTATCAACGCTGCAGTCGCCCAAATCGCACCGAATTTCGCCGCGCAATTTGCCGCCGGCACCCAGAATCGCACGAATCGAACGTCTCCCATCACGCACACCTGGCCACGAGGCCACGAGTCCCTGGGCGATATCCACCTTGGTAAACCAAGCCTCCCATTCCTTCGGGGTCGGTTAATGGGTACCAGACTCGTCAGGGAGGATAAAAGCACCGACCTGTACGTCAGCTGACCACCGCAAGTCAGGGTATAGGTTACATACGCATTCAATACGCCACTACGACTTTGAATGGAAGTCGAATGCGCGAGTGCATCCTCCTGGCAGGATTGATTAACGCCCAAGGCTTTATCCTTTACATTTTAACCCCGCCCATTCTACATGCCACAGCCTTTAGGAGCGTTATCCATAACTCTTAAATAGCGCGTAGGTGATCATTCGGGTAAACGGTGAAACGATGCTCACACTCGTTACTCTCACTCGCTAATTTCATCACCTAAAGATAAATCTGCCATTGGTGAACTCGCCATTAAATGAATTGCTTTGTTTTTAAAGCAGCCACCTTCTACTCCCATGAAAAAAAACTGATTATGTTATAGCTCCAAAGAAATGAAAAAAACGGTAACTACGGTCCGAGTTCATAAACCTGGATATTGGGGTTACAATTGCTTGAAATTTTCCTTGAAAAAAAATCCAGTCGTCCTGTACTCCTCCCCCACCCTACCGTCTAGATTTATAGCAATCATCTTGGAAAACGGAGGTTTTGCATGATAAATGATTAAGATCAATCTGACGCTACATCTGACACTTCCATGATATCAGTACGACGAGTCGGTAGGATAAAGCATCTGTTACGAGGTCAAACTCAAACCTAAGCGTAATAACCTGGCGCTGACTCAAGATCTAATTATGTTTCCGCTTGCTACGTCATCACATTTCTTGCGAGTTCAACTAGTCTAATCAGTCCTTTCGTGCAAAGTAATTTGCTACGACAGCAACTGTCACCAGCGATTCCGTTTCGTCACAATGAACTGTCACGTGCTTCAAGAAAAACAAGGAAGTGCAGCGGACATTCAGTAACGATCCAACAGTGAAGGGTCTTTCCACGGACACGTATTTAGGCTGTCCGTTTACGATCAGGCTAACAAAAAAAGAACGTTTCAAGAAGATTAAAAGCAACACAACGTCCAGCTATCCTCTAGATTCAAAACGAAACTCCCGCAATTCCTTCGCCATCGGGGTTTTTCCGAGCCACAATGCCTGAAAATAGAATACATGACTCCTTTAAAATCGGTAAAAAAAACAACAAATGTTCATGTAAGCCACAAACTCGCCTATAAAGCAAACCTTATTAAGATAGTATAAATCAGGTTACTGCCCAAATTAGGTTACAGTTAGAAGAAATAGTCATGGATTTGCACGCGTCACCAACTGTGCACTAGTTCTAGGGGCATCAGTCAAACACGCAACACAGTAACTGTATAAGGTCGCAGGAGAGGTTAGGAACGCAGGGATAGCTCCCATAAAAGAAAGTTTCATCGGTACGCTCAACTTCGATACTATCATAACAGGGACGAATCGAATGGAAAGGGTGACAGGGAACAAAGAGCTGTAGGCGAAATTCCATCTCTAGGAAGGATGATGATAAAGAAACTTCCAATAAAAAGGAAAAGCAAACCTGTGTAGAGCTTCTCGACATCACTGGTACCCCATGTAACCTCCGCGCCACGTCGAAAGAACCAAACAGCAGCAAAAACAAGCGTACGTCGTAGATGAACAATGAATTCGAGGATTGTAAAACAACTAATTCTCTACTTACTGAGTGGCAATAAATATTCACATAATTTATTCGATGGGTACTATAGGTACACAAATATTTAGTTTTAAATAAATTTTAACACAAATGAAAAGCGTGACGACGTCCAAAGTGCTATATGAAATACTATTGTAAACCAAATTGTAACAGAAACATTTGATCCTATTCCGCTTCAAAACTGTTAGATTTAACCTTCCCAGAAAGAACAGTTACCGAACTTCTATAGAAAAGCAATGTTAGCTGGTTGCCAGCCTTCACATAGAAAAAAAGATGAATACATAGGGAAAATTCGATATCACTTATGTAACACGAGGAATGAACTTGAAAGTGTCAGGGTACCCGATTAAGAAGTCCATTGGTACAAGGCTGCAAACCAAGATCGTCGCATGAACTTTAAATACCTCCGAGCTACCGCCCATTCGCTATTTTGCCCGTTTCAAGTGGTCGAAACAAAATAAATTTCAAAGATTTCTATGCAGTCAAGTGACGATCCTGACAAAACCTTATAACTGACGTCAGCAAGCAGACGTTGTTGCGACATCCGCCCAGACACTACGGCGCATATTCCGTCCCAATGCCAAAATCACTTATGTACCATAAGCTTTGAAACGAAATAAACATCATTTTCTCTAAAGTTACGGTCTAGCTTCGCCGAATTACCAGCGCACCAGTGAAGAATGACACCGTCGATGGAGATTCGCAGCACGTTGAGAGAAGCCTGTATGAATAAAAAAACTACATAAAGAAAGGTAATCACTATAAGTATCGAGGAGGTCACTTCGATAAATACAGTCTCCTCTTCAGATCCTAAAAACTGAAGCAAGAACTTACCGTGAACAACTTCTGACATTCAGAGATCGCAGCTAGCAAATGCCCGTATTTGCGGAAATATAGACGTAGAAAGAAACCCGTTGATGAATAAAAGGCGACGCACTGAGAAGTTGAGCTCACATGGCGAGCAGCTTACGCAATCGCTGCATCTCCGCGGTCAGTTGGTCGGCAAGCGCACGACGCTTAAAGCGACGGGAATCGCGCAATGCGAAATCAGCCAAATCCAACTGATCCAGCAGAGAGCCGTTCGCCGACGTCTCACGACACAAATCTGTCCACACAGTTCCGTCTGAAATAAAATGCTCCTATGATTCCGAACTGCATCTGCTGATCAGCTCACACAATCCCCGATCAGTCATATTTTACTAATGGCTACTATACGTTCATTCTAATCAAATTTTCATTGTAAACAAAATTCAGAAGAAAGCTCCAGAGCGCCACTGGAACATCGCTTCAGCATGCTTACTTGAGGGATATGATTTGAATTTGACCCCTTACAAGCTACTAATCATCGTTTGCATGACAACTTGTTCAAATCTATTCTAACTCCTAGAAATTGTAAAGTTTTAATATCGTACTATTCGCGTGCCGCCGAACGATCTCTGCTATCCGCAGCTTTCGTTCAAACATTTGCTCCTCCGATAATCGCTCGGTTTTTCGCCGCTTGGGTGGAGACGCAACCAGTCCCTCTTCTTCTTCCTCTTCTCCACTCTCTGCTTCTGGTTCCAGTCCCGCTAGCTCTATCTGGAATAAGGCACACGGCTATACTTCTAGGTTGCTCGCAGAAACCCAAAGTTTCAACACCAGTTTTAGAAAAGCGAACCAATGTTGTAGAATCTATTCCATTGGTGACCTCGTTTACTTCCATGTCATCCAGTGCATCGCTGCTTGTACTCGGGATTTCCAGGTCTAGATCTGACGTATACGACAAGTCGGACACCACCGATGATCTTTCGCTAAGCGTTTGCCGTCGCTCCCTGATGTGATAAACAGTGAGCCGGAACCAATTCATGAAGGTAACATATTCAAAAATTGACAATAGGAAAGTAAAATACTGCAATGGAGCAAACCTCCACTGCTGTAAGCAGTTGGGTGCCACGGGGCCAGGCTTCCTCTTTGGGGGTCGTCCTATTCCATCTCCCTTTACACGCTCCCTTCTTGACTCCTTCGTTGTTGGCACAGCTGCATTTGCACCAACTGGTCCTTCACCGACCTTAACCGAGGTGGAAGATGAGAGCTGTTTACTTTTTGCAATGAAAAGGAGATTCCAATAGAGAAAAGCCGACCTCGTCAATAGCAAGACTCTTCTTATCTGTCTTGAATGGATTTCCGAATGCATGTGTTCGGACGGGAGTTGGCTCTACAGGCCGCAAAGGACCACGCCCAACAGCAGCAAGTCCTTTGATATACTCCTCGTAATTGCCCATTTGGGCAATTGGTAACTGATGAAGCTCGTCTAAAGTGATGTTTAATGGTGAGCTCATCAATAAAAAAGAAAAACTCATTGTACAAACAGGTAACCTATTCATACAATCTGGCGAAATCGCTGAAATAAGTCAGGTTCAAAGAGTTTACACTTTAAATGATACTGATTTCTTTTTCACTGCTCAGTAACTGAAACACAACTCATGAGAGAAGCAGTCACCTGAATTATGCAGCTTGAGGTCCACGCCGGGAGGTCCGCCATCCAGAATGGCAAAAGTGTTCTCACGCAGAGTCATGTCAAGATTAGCACGCAGCCTAATTTATAATAATTTGAGAACACACAACAGACATCCAGTTCTGCGACAGCAAAGAGCATAGGCTTGGGATAGATTGATCAGTGGATGAGGATGTGGAAGATGGAAAAGCAAAATGTTCTGAACTTTAGCGGCATTTGCAACATTGTTAACAGGACCACTAAGAACATCTTGCATGGAAAAGTGCAAGAAACCTGCTAAACGAATTACAGTGAACGGGATATATTTAGCCCAAGTGAAACCCCAAGAAAATTCAGTGGTGACGACAGATACGACCAGTAATCGACACGCTTTTTCTACCACCAAAGATGATTAATCACTATATCGTGTAGATCTGATTGATGACTACGTAGTTAGACATTGATAATGTCAGACACGGTTTGTTGCGAACCGGAAATGTTGTTACTGTAGACCTATTAATAAGTTCAAAGTTCCCATTTGCTGCCACAACAACACATTTTGATACATTCAGTCGTCCATCTTCATATTCGAAGTTTTGTCGTCTGTCTTCTTATTTCAACTTTCCTTAGTAACTGAGAACCAGTTCTGAGAGCCCTATGATCTTTAAAGCCCTGTCAATTAGTCCCATTTACATTATCTTCAAAAGCGGAACGACGATTAGAAAAATTAACTATTGTAAACTTATTAAATGCTCCTTCTTAACCGAAAAATACAAAATTGTAGCTTCTACTTGAAAAGCAAAAAAATTTAACAAAAAAAGGACACGCAACCGATCGACAGTACTCTTTCTACAGTGGTGGCACCTCGTCTTCTGCAGACAGACAGAGGCTTGGAGATGTAAAGTGATGCAAATCACAGATGTAAGCAGAAATCTGCAGGGAGCGATAGAATCCTTGCGGAAATCTTCTCTTCGAGTCGCTAATGTTAACAAGGTTCAACAAGAAGTCCATAAGATCCGCCATCTACCCACGAGATAATAAAGCGTATCTGTTTAGAGAAATAGCAAGGAGATAAGAGCTAATGAATTAGGGTAGCGAAGGGCATTAGCAGAGTCACCATCGCCTAATAATAATGGTTCCCCTCCATCCATCACATATATACCATGCAATTCTGCTTCCGCCTGATACGTTTTTTGCCCAAGGTCAGGTTAAAACATGGGTAAAAAAGAAGTGAATGGGGAAAAATAAGCCTGATATACCTCGGCAATTCCCCAACCATTTCCAGTGCTGGTACAATGAAGGGATTCCTGAAACGGCAACCAGCCGGAGCTCGCACGCGTGGCTCACAAATGTGAATCTAAATAAGCTTGGTATTTTCTCTGAGAGGTAGAGCTCAGCAACATCATGAAATGAGGCGGCGAACTAATAATAGAGCACATCAGACTCACGTGCAGTTGGGCTCTCTGAAGAGAAGTTCTTCTTTTTGCGAGCTCTGCTTCTGGATCTCTCATAGTTTCCATCTCTCGGCGATCTCGCCGGCCAACGCGGTCTTTTATGCGCGTGTGAAGTGGTTGCCAATCGCGTGGCGGTGGACAGTACGGCAAATGTTCAACGGGAACCTACAACGGCCATAATTAATCAGACTGCGCATAAACAGTATTGTTTTCTGCTTGGATGCTAAGAAACCTTAGAAGCGACTACATAGGCTCTCTCATGCCACTAATAATTCGATAACTACATTCATGCTGCTGGCAATCATAAAAAAAATTATGGAATTTCACTTACAATTGGCACTGGTGTCATGCCTTGCTGTAACAATACAGATAGTGTTGTACAAGTCTTCTCAAATTCCTCTTTTCCCTGCGTTTTCAAATCATTTAAATAGTTGAGTAGTTGTGCTGGATAAACTTGACTCAGCGAAACACCACGCTCGTCCAGCAAGCTGGGTTCCATTTTCATTTTCGTAAGAGCGTTCCGTAGTGGCTGAAGTGAGATTATGAAGAGTTCATCTTAAATAGTTTGCCCGTCAAAAAGAAGTATAAAAAATTTATGCAGCTAATTTAGTACCGTGAGATAGTACGGAGGCATTGCTTCCACGTAGCGGTCAAGCCTAGCACGCCAATTACCACCGTTACGAACTCTAGGATCATTCTGGAAAAGTTGTTAATAATAGAGAAAAGACCACACTGAAGCAAAGAGCGAGCGAATAAAAAAACATGAAAATGATTAGCATGGATGCAAAATGTTGTCAAGATGGTATCAAAGTAACTTTATAGGAAATAGGTATGAAAAATTGACTATTGACTACCTTATATTCCTCGAGCAATTGCACGATAACAGGGTAGTTGTATGGCATGATGACCAGATTCACCACTTGTCCATTCGAGGCCGTTTTCAAATAGCCGAAAGGTTTGCCGACTCCCTCTGTTCTACTTGAAGATCGAACAAAAACCTAAAAATTAGATTTCTTTTGAGTTTGATTTCCTTCCCCCAAATATTTTTTCACAATTATTGAAGTATAGAGAGAATCCTGATAGATTCTAATCAAAATCGACAGCGAATGGATTTCGTACATGTTTATGTGAGCAAGGTGCACATGCTATCTTTTACAGACAGGACTGCAGTCGGGTAATATGAGTCGAAGTTTTTTGTTGAAACATTCAAATGTGCAAGAGTATAACTGCTATATCTTTCTGCGGGACTCGATTCATCAAGTAAATGATAACGCCCAACACCTAGCAGCTTCAATTTAAAAGAGCCGACAGAACATTTCCATAGACATAAAGCAAACAGATTCTCATGAAGGTATAAAAAACTCACTTGGTAACACATATTCGTCGAAGTGGTAGCGTGTCTATCCAGAACATATTCTGCCACAGGACATGGTTCTAACTGGTACTTATCGAAAGGCAGATCCGTCTGGATAGTCTGGAAATGTAAATGACACATCTACAGTGTTTTGATGTTGCAAGAGCGATCCCTCCTAACTTATAACATGATCACTCAGCGGCACTATTAAAGGCAAGACATATAAATCTTATATATAGGATCAAAAAATGAGGGCAGAAAATATTGTATTCAAGCAGTGACACCGACGAAATAAAAGCTTCACAGAACGGTCGAAAAATCGAAATTGTAGAAAGGCACAAAAAGAGAAGAAAGTATAAAACAAATTTCAAAGTTAAAATGAAGAAAGCCTTAAGACTGAAGTATAGATGAAAAGAAGACAGAAAACGCAGAAAACAGCTAAGTCTAATGATTTCGTGTTTTTACGAAAGTGAGCCTTTCTGTATATGATGAAAAGATCCCGGCTATTAATTGATACATGACCTTAACAAAACTAACCGGAGCAGGTACAGGATCGATCGAAAAAACAATACAAGGATGAGCACGACGTGGAGGTAGCTGTCCTTTCCTGAAGTATACAAGTAAAATAGGTATTTTATGAGAGTCGGAACATATAACACCTACATCACCATAATGAAAGAAACGCATTTCCCACACCGCAGAAACTACAAGCTACTAAGCTCACTCCAAACAGTATTTCAGGGAATATAAAAGCGAATCCTACTCGATGCGATCATGCCAGAAGGCCTCCGGAATAGGCCAATGTCCCGTAGGTGGTCGCCCACCTAGACCTTTGACGTAAACCAATGTTAATGGTTTGGCTTCCATATGACTTCGTAGGCGCAGACGTGCTTTGTCCCGATCAGTCATGTTCTCTTCGTTTGTCTCCCTTATAGCTGAATTAGACTCCATTTTACTTTCTTACGACTACCTTTTATTAACTAACAGAATCACGAACGGACCTGCAAGAGTAGGACACTCGAAGCGAACAATAATTCCGTTAAGTTGAATGGCCTGAACAATCTGATCAACCATTGGTCCGATGAGCTTATGCGATTGAAGAAGGTAAGAGCGACCTGAATAGAAAATTGGGCAAATGTGTAACACCAACAAATGTGATTGAAGCCAAGTATCCCATAATATTATTTATCCGTCTGATTCGCATCAAAATTCTAGGTATTTATGGGGGTTTTCGAAAAAAAGACGCCCAAGAATAGGAACGGATTTGCGCTCTTGAGATGACTTAACATGTTAAAAGGTAGAATCTAGAACATTCAAAGATAACAATTACTGCAGCTAGTTTGACTGTGGAAAGCAAAGTAAATTTCCTGATAGAATCTCGCTGAACAAGGTTCCATGCTTATGTAACGCAACCATTGATAGAACCATGAAAATGAGCTGTTGATTGAGCTCGCTATGTGGGATATTTGTGCATAAACGTCAGAGATGATCCCATTGGAAGCATGACGATACTCAGGATCACATGCTAAAAGTATGGGGTGTTTTGAAAAACTGGGAAGACCTGTGATAGGTATCTCTCAACATAAACTGGAAACGTCATATTTTTTACAGCTCTCATCTAAATCTCCCTTTCAGAGCCTCGAAAACGTGTGACGAAAGTGTGACACGTATGTTAGTCTTGGGGCAGACGAACATGAGATGAAAAAAAAGGAAAAACTTATGTAGCTCCTACCGCCAGTAGATGCGCACAATGGTTCGATAGGTTGTCCACCATTTGGAAGGATAATTGGAGGAGTGAGATTTACTCTCATACCTTTGGAAGGATATCGAAGAACCTTTAACAAACTTCAATTCGAAAAAGACGAAGTCCATTCATTAACTTAATGAATTAACAAATAGACTCACACATGTGAACAACCTCTGATCCCAGCGAAAGGACTCCAAGGTCATCTCGGATCCCAGATAAGGTCTTCCAACAGGGGCCAGCTGAAAATAAAGCGAACAATCAAAACCGAAACACTGTCGAGATCCCCTGTGCATTGAAGTGCCCTATGAGGAAAACACCATTCAGTTCAAACTTCTGGAAACTCCATTTAGTGAAGCCCTTTTCTAGCGACGGATTTTTCTTTTTTACAGTTCCTCTCAACGTGTCGCATTCAAAAACCACTCTTGTCCACGACACCCTTTTTATAAAATTTTAACCTATTATAGGACAGCTAAACTTTCTCTCCCCTCAGTATATGCAGGCTAAGCAGGCTTGCACTTCTCTACAGCAGTCGTATATTATTTTAAATCAACTGCACTGAATTTCCTATCACATTAGACCAGCATGATCAAGCCTCTTGTGAATAAAAAAAATATCAGCTAAAAACGAATTCGTTACACTATGGCAATCCAAAGAAATAAGATTTACAAAAAGGATTGAGTCGCAGAGAATAGAAAAATATATGGAAATCAGCCATAATGAAACGAGTAGTGAATATGATCGAATAATACAAAAATTTCAGTTCAGTAACAATTAAGAAATCCCGCCATTGCCGAGAAATGGGCAGCCTTTTGCCGAATCAACTAGGTCTAGCAAAGAAATATGAAGGGGTGACAAAGAAAGACCCGTCGTGAAAAGACAGTGAGGACCCGCTTTTTCCACTATACGCTGACTTCCGATTTAATGTTCCCAGTGGTAAACAGCACTTGATAACTTCTAATGCCATCATTTCGAACAAAAAACGAATGTACGGCGTGAATCGAGAAGCTGCCACTACCGGGAAACTCATCCTGACTGCAATCACTGGGAGGTCACTCTACGAATAAGCCCAAACTCTCGATTAAGCCAATGTAAAACCTTGAACAAGCCTTAGAAATGTAGGCTTATAGAAATGCCTGTCTATTTTCTTCACTATTATAACTGACCGATTTCAGTCCAACATTAACGAAGGCCCCAGTAAGAAGTTTATTATTCAGATAAAGTTCATCTGAAAGTAATGCAAGTCTATTTTGATATACAAAATATTTAATTTTTTTTATCCATATTCGTATTGAGAGGGCCTCTTAAGATGGGCGGGCGGCAGACGTCGCAGCAACCACTGAAGGTGAGCGTGAGTTAGGCGACTACTCAGAGCCCCAACATTCTTAATATGCTTTGTCATTAATCAATAACATGAAAACTGACCCGAAATTCTGGAGGAATGTCCGCAGCGGAGGTAGAATCAGTGATAGCGAATAAAATGACCGGCTCAAAATACGTTGGAAATCGTCCACACCCATAATTATCTATTCCTGAAAGCGGGTAGTCATGATTGCCTACTTACTGCCCTTGCTGAGCTGAGCAAAGTACTACGTAAAAAAAAGCTTCGTGCTAAGCCACTGGTGCAAAAATCGATAACTAAATGCATTGTACTACCAACCAGTTTGGGCACGATGGACATTAATGAATTTCAAGGCGTTCATAAATGCATCAGAGATCGATCCTCGTCCGCGTGGGCGTAACTTTTTCAATTGGTCGTGTAATACAGCGCTGCTTTCTCGCCATCCTGACTGAATAGCAAATAATTAATAGAATATTTTTGCAATTGAACAAGGGTTAACAAAAGGCGTACCTTGATACAAGCTGGATAATCCTCTGTTGTGATTAGGAAAAAGCGATCGTAGCCCCGTGTTGCAACGTCTTTCATACGTTGCTGCAAGTTACCAATTAAATATCTCGGGATTTTGAGCCGTTGTATGGGAAAACATACTAAATTGGCCCTTCAGCGCTTGCTGTTATTTCTACCTACCTTCTGCAGTGCATCGATTATATTACGCGCCACGTCCAGATAGGATGTGCCGAGATATGTCTTCTGTGCCATTGAGGCACTTGTGTCTACGATTAACAATATGATAGTCATGGTTCATTGAGCGCTCGCCTCGCAACGACAATATGCCACACGTGACGACCACGCACCACCCCGAACCCAGACGAAATGAACCACTGTCGAGCCCGCCTCGAAAGGAGGCGTAGCCGAGCGGCAAAAAAACTTTGTCTGCAATTGCAGTTTTCAGACATTACAGTACGTAAAAATAGCTAGTGGTGATTTTGCTAGCTGTTTCTGACGATGGGCACGATGGCATTAGTCGTTTTACAATCGATATTAGCTTGTAAAAGTTTTCTAGAGAGATTATGGCCTTATTTCTCACTGGTTAACGAAAAAGATCCCGCCTTTATTTTTCTTCGATTGCAAGTCTGATGGGATTGTAACTGTCCAGTTTTTGACAGTTCCACTTTATCGCTTGTGGCGTTACATTTTATATTTGCTGGTAAATAGCAGGATGTTAGAAATGCAAGTGTCGGAATGTGTGAAAAGTTTGATGGATGAAGAAGCTTGTATTGAGGAGTAAATAGAGTATTGGACTGGGCGAACTGAGGGAAACTTCGCGTTTCTGCTGTAATATTCGGAAACCTGTTATCATCTTGTCATTGCACTTCATTCAGGGTTGAAAAAGTCTCTTTTCTCGATGTCGAGCTTGACAATGGGTAAGATTCATAAAGACCGAGAACGGTGATACGATTAAATGGACCAAACTCAAATTGTCCAACTTTTGCTCAAAATAACAAAAGGATGAAGGATAAAGTTTTGGGGGGGTACGGGAATAAATTTTCGATCGCACCCAATCAAGCTCGCCTCGCACCTAGGCGCAAAGTGACCTTAATTAGGTGCGAAGGCTAAGGGGGGGCGCGCGATTCACGCGTGACCCCATTAGAGCTCTTCGCGCACGCAGCATTGTTTCAGTACCTTTCCGTTGAGATGGACCAAATAAATTTGCAGTAGTCCACGGCTTCACCATGAATTAGAGAAATATCTTTACTATAGCCATGAATCCTATTTGAGATTAGGAATTCACACCATAGTTCGTCAATTTACTTGTCAAACGTTCAAAATAAGANNAAGTTTTTGATCCTAGAAAACGCAATCCTTCTGGAAACGTGCACAGTTGGTTATTCCTTTACTTATTCTACTTATAAGTTCTTATTTCTTACGTTATGATGGTAGGCATGAAGTTTTAGCGCGTTGTCCGATGACCTCATTATATTGGCGCGTGAATCGCACCACACCCAAGGCTAAGCGGTAATTATGCTGCCCGCACTCGCTACTTCTCGAGTTAAAACTTGTCAACTAAGGAGGTTAATGACAGTTTAAAAAAATGGAGTTTCTCTTTAAAAAATGAGTTTTCTGGGAGGAAAAATTCCATTATCAATTCCAACGGTTTTGAGAATTTAATTATTTCCACCCATAATGAATAAGTTCAAAATATTTTATTCCAAGTTCCTGAAAATGGATAAAATAGTTCAAATTACTTCTTTTCGTATTTTCGTTTATATGCGATATCAAACAACTTTTACAGAAGCGATATAGTTCTCTAGAGTCTTTTGGTATTGGGACTACTCTTCATCATTGAACGGCTCCTCATGCTGGCCATTTCACAGTTTTTTACTTAACTTTTTAAGACATTACCATGTATTCTAGTGACGCACTGTACTGTTTCGATGAAATCACATGGTGTCCTTCCGCTTCAGACTATTTAGGAGTGCGCGGTCCATGTGGCCCTCTTCCCTCCTTTATTAACTTTTCACTTTGCTNCTACAAAATGATTTTTTCGGAAGTTCTGCGTCTACACAGCCTCTCCGAATGCAACGGGACCCCGTAGCATAACAATCGCTCTACACGTTTCCTGCACCTCCACAGTCCTCTCCTAGGTTCGATGAAATTCAACAGCAAGGAGCAAGCCGCCACCAAGTACAAGAATTTTGAATAAAGATGTTCAAATTCGTTACAAACAAAACTATCTAAATTCTACTTATAAATTTAGGTTTTCTTTTAAGTTTTCTTACTACTAAGGAATTGAACCTTTTCCCCCATATTACAGAGACTTTAATCACAAAATATATTGAATTTACTTATTATGGGGAAAGGGAAAAAACTCTCAAATTCGTTGGAATTGATATTGGGACTTTTTCTTAGACAAAAACTTTTTTTATAACAGACTTTTTTAAACTGTCATTATCCTCCCTAACTGACAAGTTTCAACTCGAATAGTAGCAAGTGCGGGCAGCCTAATTACCGCTTAGTCTTCGCACCTAATTAAGGTCACTTCGCGCCTAGGTGCGAGGCGAGCTTGATTGGGTGCGATCGAAAACTTATTCGCACACCCAGTCTTGGGGCATTAATCGATCCGCCTGGAGGATGCGCCGCGTATTCGAATTTCATTCAAAATCGTAGTGGCGTATTGATTATGTGGCCTATACAATAACTTGCGGTAACCAGCCATGTGAGAGTCAGTACTTTTGTCCTCCCAGATGAGTCTGGTACCAATTGACCGATTCCAGAGAAATGGAAAGCTCGATTGCGTAAGCAGGTATCAGTTTGGGATTCGATCCTTGGACCTGGTGTATGAATGGGTTACATGGCCTTTTAACTTCCGTCCACATATTTTATTACATTGACTCATTGTCCGGACCCAGTTCTCTGTTGCACTAAAGCAAATTAATTCGATATGGCAGCCCCAAATTGGAAGTGTTCACATTGTTTGACATCCAGCTAAATTACCTCCGACTCACCTCCCACTGCATACCCTTCCACATATTCTCCTAAGGCATGAACATGCTCTCTGACTTGATGAGCCTAACGAGTATCGATCAGGGATTCGAACCGGTGGTGATGCGTGGGTGGTGGTCCGCAACTGGCGCTGCACTACCTTCTTTCATCTCTAACATTGTGGAGGTTTAATTCTGGACTGGACCCTCACCGCAGGTGATTTCAGAGTAGCAACTTTTTACAGCCTTCAAAGGACAAGGTGCTCCGAAGTCCGATATTCACAATAAATTCATACTTATTTTCTGAATAATTTGCCTTCGTTTCATGTGCCTGAATGGAGTCCAAGCGGTTGCGGTACAATTCTGCGGGCTGAACTCCTCGGCTCAGTGATGAGGCATACAGGATCTTCAGATTTTCCTTTTGTTACCATAAAGACGGATTTCTTTGAAACTCCCTAGGAGAATCGGGGAG